ACGTTGCATTTTTTTTTTCCTTTTTATGGAAGAAACAGAAACTCACAAAATGAGCTTTTAATATTTCATTTTTTATTTTAGAGTCGATGGTCACGATGGTTGTTCAATTTCTAAAGTTGAAAATCAATGTCAAACCGATATGTTAAACGTGCCACCGTAATTGAAAAATATATTTAATATTATCCTTTTTGCTTTAATTGTAGGCTTTTTTTTAGCCAGCTTTAATTTTTGCCTTATTGATAGTTTTAGCTTGACTATATAGGGGCTTTATTAGTGTTATTTTACACGTACAAGCCATCTCATCGTTTTAACTTTTATAACTTAATTTATTATAATTATTATTTAGAATAAATGTTACCACAACCTGAAATAAATTTTTTACGTTGAACTCAAAAATATAAAATTCCAGTTGTTATACACTTTTTCTTTTTCAAATAAACGTTGCCATCAATTTACGTCCACTAACTAAATTTATTTGGTTAACATTCAATCATAATATTTTTATTAAGAGATTGTGAATTCAAATCCTCCCACCCCACTTGTTATATTTAAAGAAACTAAACTAATTTCACTGGTTGTATTAAAAAAAAAAAACTAAACTAATTCTAAGAAATCGATCTTCTACCAAAAAAATAAAAATCATAAGATTTTAATTTCTAATAGTTATTTTTCCCTCTCTGAAGGTACCTAAATTCTACGAACTCAACATGTAACCTTGATAGTTGAAACGGAAAAATACCGTCAAATGCTTCTTCTAAGTAAACTAGAAAAAATAAATAACACGAATTAGCATGTGAGTTTAAAAGCGGCAAGAAAATGGATATTCTATTCTCTTTCACTTCCCAGTTTTCCATGGTGTCAAACATGATATTAAACTTGAGAGTCCAAATAAAACTTCCTTGATTTTATTGATGGACCAAAAAGTCTTACAAATAGACTGCTATTACAGAATATTCACAAAGTCATAACTAACTGTAACAAAACAACTAACAGTAAAGTCTAATATTCCCCTCAAGATGGAATGTGGATATTCAAGACACCCATCTTGGACAGTAAGTCAGTAAAAGAAGAGGAAGGGGCAGAAGGAAACCAGTAAAAGCTTGATGAGGTCTGAAACAATCTTATCTCGAACAAAGTGGCAGTCAAGTTTTATGTGTTTGGTTCGCTCGTGAAAAGTCGGATTAGTGGCAACGTGGACAGCAGCCTGATTATCACAAAATAAGAGAGTAGGAGGCTGAAAAGAGATGTGTAACTCCTACAATAAATGAGTAATCCACACAATTTCAGAAGTAGTAGCAGCCAACGCTTGGTATTCGGCCTCAGCCGAAGAACGGGACACAGTGGTTTGCTTTTTAGCCTTCCATGAGACCAAAGAATCGCCCAAGAAGATACAAAACCCTGTAGTTGATTTTCGAGAATCCAAACAGGATGCCAAATCAGTATCAGAGAAGGCACGTAAATGAAAAGAAGTAGAGCTTTTCAAAAAAATGCCTTGACCCAGTGAGCCTTTCAAATATTGAAGAAGATGAAAAGCAGCAGTAAGATGAGCAATATACTGGCTCAACTTATGGACAACAAAAGTGATGTCGGGCCTCGAAATGGTAAGATAGATAAGACGACCAATAAGACGTCGATAGGCAGTAGGATCATCCAACAACTTGCCAACAGAGGAAGAAAGCTTAACAGTAGGATCCATTGGAAGAGTGGCCGGTTTAGAAGCTAACAAACCAGAATCTTCAAATAAATGAAGTGCATAATTTCGTTGAGACAAGAGAATGCCAGAGGATGACCGAGCAAGTTCCAAACCCAAAAAATATCGCAAGGATCCCAAGTCTTTAAGCTTAAAAACACTGTCAAGATGAGTCTTTAACTGCCCCAAAAGCAAAGAAGAAGCCTCAGTTAGTATAATATCGTCTACATATACAAGTAGAGCCACAAAAGTATCTCCAGCACCTCTAGTGAATAAGGAATAATCAGATTTAGATTGTTGAAACCTCAAATGCAAAAGAGCACAAGAGAATTTGTCAAACCATTGGCGAGAGGCTTGCTTGAGGCCATAAACGGACTTGTGAAGGCGACAAACGAGGCGCTCCCCCTTAGAAGCAACCATATTGTGTTTATAACCCAAGAGTAAATCCATATAGACCTCCTCAAATAGATCACCATGCAAAAAAGCATTATTGACATCTAGTTGAATTAAGGGTCAACTCATGGAGACCGCAAGAATAAGTAAGACCTTGACAGTGACTAATTTGGCAATCGGAGAAAATGTTTCAATATAATCGAGACCTTCTTGTTGAGTATACCTTTTTGCCACTAAACGAGTTTTATAACGCTCTATGGAACCATCAGACTTGGTTTTGATTTTGTAGATCTACCTACATCCAATAGAATGATGTCCCAAAGGTAAGGGAACAATAGACCAAGTGTGGAATTAGTTTCCATGGCTTGCAACTCAGACTGCATGGCCTCACGCCAGTGGGCAAATGGTCCAGCTTGATGATAAAATTGAGGCTCATAAGATGCAGAGACATTGAGAGCAAATTTCTTATAATCTGGGGATAAGCTATCATAAGACAAAAATTTCTGCAGAGGATACTTGAGAGAAGATGCTGGCATAGGAACAATATCAATTAAATGACAGTGAAAATCCCTCAAATATGATTGGTTGGCGAGTCCTTGTAGAACGGCGAAGAGGGACATTAACCTGAGATGATATAATAGAATCACGCTGAGGAATGTCTAGAGAGGAAGCTGTAGGACTGGACTAGCTGCAGTAGATGCAATATGCTGAGAACCAATAATACTATCAGAATCACTCTTAATATTGCCCTTAATCTCGGATTTCGCTCTTTAGAACTCGAAACATTAAATAAGACGTCCAAATGAATAAAATGTTTGGTCAATATTATGCTCTGCTTACCGAATTGACAATTCCTCTAAGAAAACAGAGGATTCCACATGCAACATTTGACAGCATCTAGTCACAATTAGATCATCAGTAAATGTTCGCGTTTCATTCAAATGCATATATAATTGGGTATCTTTTACATTAAACTCTTCAAAATCTAAATCCGACCACCCCACATTTGGAGAAATTAAATTTCAAGAGTAAATTAATGAAAAAAGAAAAACTCAAATTCACATACTACTCAGAAACATATTCTAAACTGTGATCCTCCAGCTTCTAGCCATCCAGCTCCTTGGTTGGAGTTCACTTATTCTCCACAGCAAAATAATCCAATCCTTCAAAACTAAATATGATCCTCAACATTATCTCCTAGCACTTCTATATCACGGTTATCCGACAACGGGGTTACTGAATTTTAAGTTCTGGAAAATACCAAATCCAGACTTATTCACAACCGAACACATCCAGGAATTTCTCCCTATGTTTAAAAGAAACTTGGGGGAAGAGAAGTTGGCTTTCCAATCCTCTTCTTCCTAAGCCTCTCGGCGACGATGAAAGCAAGCTCAAGAGACTGAGAAGCATTCAATCTTGGGTCACAGTGTGTGTGGTATCTCGAGGACAAGTCGTCGAATGTTACGGTTCGGGACCCTCCAATGCACTCTGTTACATTTTGTCCGGTCATTTCCAAATGAATTCCTCCAGCATGGCTCCCTTCTTGTTCGTGCACATCAAAGAATGCTCGGACCTCAGCCTATAAGAAAAACGGAAGGCCAGTTGATTTAGAAGATATATAGTGACATAATGGGAACAATAAACTAAGTTTATAAACATGGAGAATTGTCCTGGAAAAGGGATACCACAGGTTCGATAGGACGGACAGGTAAAGGTTTTACCTTTTTGTAATGAAACTCTCAGTTTAAGCATTAATTGTCCAACTTTATTATACACTTACCTTTCAGCATTTGAGAAATAATAGCACTTAAACGATCTTATATGAATCTACTTAAAACAGTTGTATTTAAATTTGCTTCGAGATTTCCTTTAGTTTAAATGTTTCATATAAGTTCTAAACTTCTGGTGTATGACTAATCCCTAAGAAGAAGAAGCTACCACAGTCTCTACATCTTCAAACGTCTTGCGTTTAGTTAGTAGAAAATATTCAAGAAATGAGAAATCAAAGATATCCAATAGGATAGAAATTTACCAGGATTGCATCAAATGGACGTGTTTTGAGGCCACAGGGTGCCTTAATGGTGTTTCCATGCATTGGATCACAGACCCATGTCACAATTTGCCCTGCCCTTCGTACAGCTCTAATCAAATGGGGAAGCTTTACTCTCTGGTTCTCAGCACCCATTCTTACAATGATAGTTATCCTTCCTGGTTTGTTATCAGGATTGAGGATTTCAATAAGTTTAACCAACTCATTTGGATCCATTTTGTTGCTCACCTGTATCAAAAAATCACATTAATCATCAATTTTTATGCATAATATTTGATTTGATACCAACATTAGATCCTAAGCTTAAAGAAGCTACCTTAATTCCAAGAGGATTAGCAACACCTCTAAGGAACTCCACATGGGCACCATCGAGTTGTCGGGTACGTTCCCCAACCCAAAGCATGTGAGCTGAGCAGTCATAGTATAGGCCAGAAGTTGAGTCCAGTCTGGTAAGTGATTGTTCATAAGGCAAGAGCAAACACTCGTGAGAAGTCCAAAACTCAGTTGTAGTCATAATAGGATGGTCGACGGTAAGTCCTGCAGCAGCCATGAATCCTAGGGTCTCATCAACACGGCGTGCAAGTTCATGATACCTGTAGAGCAATATGCAACCATTCTTTATTATCGAGGGCCAGGCCAGCTTAACATTTTTTTTTTCTTTTGGGCTGAGAACTTAAACCTTACAAGATCTAGAGCTACTATGATAGGCTAATCCTAATCTGATCAAGATGCATAATTAGCGCCTCAAGATACGTCTCAATTTAACACAACTCATGCTGCTTCCAATACTGGTTCTAAATTCAAAATACAATTAAAAGCTGTAAATAATAACTTGGCTTACCTATCACCCTGTTCACTGTTTTCAGCAAAATCAAGATTCCATTGGGTTACTCTCTGCATTGCAGCGTATCCTCCAGTGGCGAAGGACCTGAGAAGGTTGAGGGTTGCAGCAGACTGAGTATAAGCTCTGATCATCCTCTCTGGGTCTGGAATTCTTGACTTCTCATTAAAATCATCACCATTGATGTTGTCCCCCTTGTAGCTTGGCAGACTGACTCCATCCTTCACCTCATTTGGGTCTGACCTTGGCTTTGCAAACTGACCAGCCATTCTGCCCACCTAAATCAATGTTCAAAAACTACGATTGAAAAACTAATAATCCTCAGAAAACAAAGAATCTGAAAGAGCGGAGGAGAGGATGGGTACCTTAATGACAGGCATTTGCCCGCCAAACATAAGAACGACACTCATCTGGAGAAGAATCCTGAATGTATCCCTAATGTTATTGGCGCTAAACTCCTTGAAACTTTCAGCGCAATCCCCACCTTGCAAGAGGAAAGCATTGCCCATGGCGGCCTCAGCAAGCCTCTCTTCCAAGCTCCTAGCCTCACCAGCAAACACAATGGGAGGAAACGACTCAATTGTTTCAAGAACAGTCTCCAGCTTGGCCTGATCCGGGTACTCAGGTAGCTGCAAAGCCTTCTTGGATTTCCAGCTCTCCACACTCCATTTCCCAGCGCTAGACGGCGCCGTCACCAGCGTCTTGCGGGGGCTCTCAGCCACAACCTTGTCATTGGCCGGCTCCGCCGCGTGGACGGCGGAGATGCGTCGGCGGAGCCTGAGGTGGGTCTTGGACGGAACGAGGAACGAACTGGGTTGGTGAGATTTGGGCTCAACAAGCGGATTGAAAAGTGATTTGGAGGAGAGAGTGGCGGCATTAGAAAGAGCCATTGTTGTTATCTTCAACAAAGGGTTCAGATCTCTCGGAATCAAATGAGGACTCTGAAAGCTTGACAGGAGATGAAAACGGTGAGAGACCCTGAGATTGAAATGGAAAATGGGAGAGGTCTTTTATAAGAGTGTTAAGGGTTCGGTAAGGCCGAAATCTTAAAGAACACAAACGGGGTTGAGGAAGGTAGGTAGAATTAGAGGAGGAAGTGGAGATGAGAGGCAATTTCAAAGGGGCTACCAAACGCAAGGCGGCATAAATAAACAAATAATTTCACCAAACCACCTTCAATTTCAGAACAGTGACAACGAAAACTACAACAAAACAAAAAAAAAGGGGGGAAATTGGGTCATCTTTGACCAAGATCAAGAGTTTCAACAACCCCCTCGCCCTTCCCAGCCATTTCCAACGGGGACTTTGCTTTGAAAAGTCGTCTCTAACGTCTGGCGAATTGGAAAATGTGGGGAGTAGGTAAGGCGAGGGGAAAGATGATAGAAAAAAAAAATTTATCAGAGAGAGTTAAATTGAATAGAGCAATTGGCGGCTGTCTTGCTCTCGTCAGATCGTCTCCTTCAACTATCGCTCCTGCTTCTTAATCCATTTTATTATCTACAGAGGGCATTTTTTTTTTTGAGGGTATAAAATTCCACTGCTATGGCATTAGTACATGTACAACAACTAGGTTTTTAAAAGTCACATTTCCAACCAAATATTATTAACATAGATATGATATTAATAATAAGTTAATAATCATTTTTAACTCAGAGAAGTTAAAATACTTATTTGTTAGTTTAAATACTTTTTATCAATTTTTTATTTTTTAAATATTTTAAAAATATTATCGACATTAATACTTATTAATATCTTGTCAAAAATAGGTGTCAATCACCGCTGAATCAAATTTATGTTGGCAAACCATTGTTTATAAATAATTATCTACTTTATTACATTCTTCCAATTGTGATATTTTAAAAATCAATAATTTTGAACTTTCTTAAAATAAATAATTTAATTTATTAAAAAAGTAATTTTTGCGACGACGTGATAAATAAGCTTTGGCGTGCTTCCTAGTCCCATATCTACACACATACTAGATCCTCCAACTTGAAGAAGGATTGGTGATAAAATATTTGTGTTTTATATGTTATTTCAACTAGAGATAATTGAGTGGTTATTTTAATATTATATAATAAGATTTAATAATCAATGATTATTATAACATAGAATTCAACTTTTATTAAGTAAGGGTGAGAGGATTTGAGAGTTGGACCTTAAAGAAATAAGTAAATAATTTTATTAATTGAATTATTTCATAACCTTTTGATTAGATTAAAGATGTATGTATATACTCATATAAGTACATAATATAAAATTCAATTAACTATTATTTGCATAAGGATAAAATTAAATTATGTTTTATTATAGATTTCATTAAAATATTAACTAATTATAAGTTGTAGACTTTCATATTAATGTGAATACTGTTTTTAGACATATGTATTTACTTTTAATTTACAAAATATTTAAAATTGAGGAGAATCTTGACGAGTTATTATACCCGATCCCTTTTTGTTAATTGAACTATTTTTGTACGACACGGAACCATTTTTAATAGGTTTTGTGGATAATTAATGGTATTTTACCTACACCTATAGACGTCGATAGCAACAAAATAGAGTTGATTAATTAATGAGATTTTGGTTAATATTACTTTGTTTTTAATTAATTACAATGTCTATTTTACCTAACTTGGTTGAAAAGGGACTGATGTTTTAGTCTTGAATTCGATTAATAGATGGATTGATATTAACTAACAAATATATGCACTATTCAATAATAATATATTAATAGAGTAATATTTATTGACGTTAAGTTTTGACATTTTCAATAAACAAGCACTCCTTGAGGTAGTACAACTTATTTATCCGATTGGAATTATACAACATCATCATTCGTAATTGCTCTCATCTGTTATTCAACTTTCAACTTGTCACTATTGCTAAATTTACTATGTGATTCATACGTCGTGTTAAGTGGCTAACTTTGATATGCTCTTAAGCGCCAATAAATACAAAAGGTTCACTCCTTACACGTAGGTATTCAATTCTGATTAGCTTGTCTCGCGAGCGATACCTCATATTGAGATTGACTTGAGCATTGAAGTGTCTACTCTCTTTTTGCAAGTCTTTCTTCGCATACCTCATTCTAACATAGGTTAGCCACACTCCTTCATAGGTTGGCCATGCTCCTTCATAAGTCAACCATGCTCCGTTATAGGTTGATCGTGCTCCTTCATAGATTTGCTTATTCCATCCGGAGGTCATAATTTGACATCAACGATATTTATTTATTTCTATCACTTAATTATGATTAATTAATTGAGTCATTGCAAAAATAGCATGCATTTTTAGTCATATAATTAAATGTTATTAA